GCCGATTTATATCACTCATTAATTATATTTCAAAAATTAAAGCAGTTGCATAAATTATTTATCTATATATTTTAAAATTGACCATAATATCTTATTATCATAAAACTAAAAAATCACCAGATTCCTCGTACGATAATATGGATTTATTATTTTGTGCGGAGTCCAGAGAGTGTCAGAGACTAATAAAGAGGCTCCACGTCACCCCATTATTATGTACTGAGCTCGGTACCCCTTGATACTGCTAGGTACCCAGCGCTTAATTCTTAATCTGTTACTTGAGAACTCTAGCTATCAATTAAAAAGTTTTGAGTTCAAATCTGAGGTATTTGATATGTATGAGTAGGAGTGTCAATATTTGACACGACACGAAAACCCGACCCGGACCCGACCCGAAAAATTCGGGTTGGACCCGACCCGAATGCAAAACGGGTCGGGTTCGGGTTCCAGAAATCGACCCGTTTGAACCCGGGTCAGTTCCGGGTCCGACCCGAACCCGACCCGTGACCCGAAATTGACACCCCTATGTATGAGTATGACTTTATTAATTCAAACCACCTAAAAAAAGATCATAGTCAGACTATTGTTTAGCTATTATTTTCTTGATAATATTTTTAAAAAAAATTGTGATTGAAAGTGTTTTTTCCAACCAAACCTATCAGTTTATAGCAATTGAAAAAAAATTATTACTCGTTTGTTTTCAAAGATGAAATATTTAAAATTCCTGCAATAATTAAATAAATATATTTATACATTTTTCTCTTAATAGCTTTACAACTACTATCACAAAAAACAATGATTGTCTCAAATAAACCTTAAATCATTTTGGAAGCATCAGTAAGGGCACTTGGACATAAGGTGGAGTTGGCTTTTTGGTATTTCCCTAGCTCTCTCTACACCTTTGGGCTTTGGCCGCCTGGTGTGGCACTCTCAGGGAAGGTTCTTTGCCTCTTCCTTTTAGGTTTTATTTTTTATTATTTTTTTTTTTTGTTTTTTAGTGGTTTTTTGTTTGACTTTTCTGGTTCGTCCACCTCCGGCTACTAGGGCATGAATAGCGGTCAAATCTCGCTCTTTTGTTGATGCGCATCCTCTTTGGTATTTCCACCGACGTGTGTTTTCCTGAGCTAAAACCTACTACCTTTCGTGTCATACATTCCCTTTGAATTTCAGAGAAAGAGGTTCTTGTGCTTGCGGCTCCTCTACAATTCGCATTGGTTGATATTTTTCCTTCTCCTCGACCAAGAATTGACTTTATTAAGAAGTTCTTCAATCTGAAGCTTGATGATGATTTTTTGTAACTTTGTTGAATCATTCGTATGTTTTGAATAAGTTGGTGAATAACCTAAACTATATCAGAGTTTTCTTTCATAGATAATACTTATTAACAAATTTTATATGAAATTGACCCTCTTTAGATATTGGTGTGGAGTCCCAAGTTATACATATTTGGATTTCGTTGCGTAACTTGCATCCTTACTTATTCTCCCCATGTATTCTTCACGGCTAGGTTCCTTAATTGTTTGTTCACTTAAAGTTGATCATGCAACCTCTGTTGGCTTCTGTCCCTCGATTGCGCGTGTGTTGGTCGAGCTTGACATTTCAAAAAAATTTACTGATAATATGTGGCTTGGTCCTGAAAAGTTTGGTTACATACAACACGTTGTGGTGGAGGAATTTTCTCCTTTTTATGCTCAATGTAAATCTATAGGGCATTCGAAAGGTGATTGCCACTCCCTTTGTCTATTCCGGCGATTGTTTCATATAGTCATGTTAGTTTTTATGGGAATGTAAATGTTGTTGTAGAAACTATGGCTGTTGTGGGAAATGGGGGTAATCCTATCCCTACTTTGACTCATGTTAATCAGATTTCTGATTTGGCGGTTAATAGGGAAAATTGCATTGAAACTGCTTTGTTGTGGACAATAATGCTGGTATTGTTAACACTGGGTTGGTGGTCATGATGAGGAGGGAGCTGCTCCGTCGACTATTGCTTTGCCTGTGGCTCTTTCTTGTGAAAATAGAGAGGGTGTTGTTGAGGTTTTTGGGCCTAACTCTTGCATGGTTAACCTTATAGCTAGTCCCATTACGTCTACTAGTTCTAATGTTGGTGTTTGTAGTAATGATAATGAGGTTTCTGATGATTTTGTCCCTTTGGAATCTGGGATCCGTGAAGCTGTTAGCTCTAAGTTGGTGCCTATTGTGCTTGTTGAGAGTGGTGATGTTGGTATTGGTTTGGATGCTCCCGCTCATTATAGTGTTATTATTTTTGATGGTGTTGATCCTATGGTTATGAATGTTGAAGTGCCTCTTATATATGTTTTTATTTCTTTTGTATCTAGTGATGCTTTGTTAGCTCAATTAGCTTTCAAATCAAAGGACTATGAGGTGATTTAAGATGACGGGTTATCTGATAGCGACTCATCAGCTAATTAGTATGCTAGAAAGAAAATTGATGTGCAAGGAGTGAATTCTTTGGGCAACTTTGATTTAAATTTTATACAAATTATTGAGACCAACAATGAATACGAGCTCTTAATTATGAGCCACTATAAGGGATTCATCGTACACAAAATAATTCCTACGAGCAAAGAATATAATTTACAAATGCCCGCTAATAACCTATAGGTGCACTACAGGAAAACCCGTTATTACTGGCGGATTATATCCGCCGGTAACACCCAAAATTCGCCAGTAGTACCGGGTTTCCGGCGCATTTACGACTGATTTTCGTGCGCCAGTTTGGTTCGCATCGGAAAAAAACTTTATGAGACGCCGGAAAATGTTTTGGCGCACTCTCCGACGCATTATCGACGCAAAAAATGTTGGCCAAGCAGGCAATTTTCAATCGGACATTCCAGTGACAACTGCACCGGAAGTTTACGTCGTATTGATCCGCCGAAATTTTCTGGCGGACAAAATGCCGTAGATGTGCGCCGTAAATAAGCTACGGCTAGTTTACGGCGCATATTGGACGCCAGAAACCGCCGGCGGACAGGACACCGTAAAATGCATCGGTAATTTTCAGTGTCCAAATAAACGACGACATGATCGTAATGATTCGTTGTATCGTCGTTTCCGTCGAATTTCCGACACAAAATCCACCGGAAACCTGTAGCATTGACAAAAAAAATTCCTTCGGCCAACAATTGCATTTTCACACCTGCAAACATATACAAAACCACTTCCAGAAGACAGCTATACACATAATAGATATAAACATCTTCAATATATACTCAAAAACATAAATATCCATGTAAAGACATTGTTCAATAGCATAAAATAACTCAAAACATCACATATTGTTCAATAACACATGCTCACATAAATAAACAAGTTCATATAAACAAAACTAAACTACTCTGACTCCGTGGACTCCTCCTCAGCTGGAGCTACCTCTTTTCCACTCAGCTGCTCCCTCATCTTGCGCTTTTCATCCAACAACTGATTGTGTTGCTCTTGCATCTGCATTTGAACCTGTGCTTGCAGCTGAGCTTGCCAATCAGCTTGTGATTTCCTTACTTGTTCTAACTGAGCTTGAAGGGCACTTATTTGTTGAGCATGTAAGGAATCATGTGAACTGGATACGGAGCTGGATGCAGTAGAGGAGGTCATCCTCTCGTATGCCTAAGCTTGGGAACCTAAACCATAAACTCTTCCATGATGCAATCCTCCGATGGCCTGTGACCAGATGCGATACTCAGAAAACTCCACAGAGCTGCCAGAAGAACCCTCACCTGATGCAGCATGAATCTCTCAAAGCTGTGTACTCATCCTATGAAAGTAGAATATAAATATATATAATTAAACTAAAAATAGAAATTTCTAAACATATATATAGAAATTTCTAAACATATATATAGAAATTTCTAAACCCTCACCTGATGCAGTTATTCCAAAATTTTAATTTTGAACTCATATCCAAACCTTCTAGTGAAGCATAAACACGTATAATATTAACAATTTTAACATCAACTACAATCTTTAAAGTTATAATTCAATCTCTAATTCTATTAATTTTTATAATATTATCTTTCAAACTTTTATCTATAATCACACTTATATTATTTTTAGTACGACTCTTACCCGAATATCATAATTTAAATCATAAACTATCAATCTCCTTAGCCTTCTCTCCAACACATTTAGTTTCTTGAATGCATAAAATATTTATCTTCTTATGAATCATAACATATGTTAATTATGTTAATTTTTCTGTAAGTGAACCTATATTTCAAATTCATATCTTAATTTTAGTTTCTTGGACTAACTTATTTGCCCAAATCCATCCTTGATATGAGAATCCTTGCCTATTTACCACTGCACCAGGGGCCAGTGCAGCGGCCCTTGCACACTTGTCGCTGTATTCAAGCCATTTAGTGTATTGCTTCCAGGATATGCCCTAGCATTAACACTAAATAAATAAAAAATACATATTAAAATAATAAAATGATAATATATAAACATAATTTATATAAATTTTATCACAATTTTAATTTTTTTAATGAATATTCATCATCCTTTAGACCTTGATAAATACTGCTCAATCAATTTACAATGAATAATATCATCAGCACATCCCCCATACCATTAAACCATAGATCTTCAATTTGCATTTGTGAATTCAAAAATTTTCAACTAGTTGAGCTTTACATCATGTCACAAGTGCACCAAAGTTAGTCTAATTAAGCACATTATCTTCATGGTTGCTAATAATTAATCATCGTAAGGTAGAAGCAGCATAAATAATTTACTGCAATTTTTCACAGGCATATTTTTCATCATTTATAGTTTTGCTATTTCAATCCCACATGTAATAGCAATTCCAGTTCCTTCAATGTAATTTTAATTTTTGACCAAGGAAGCAGGCATCTTGAGTTTCAGACAACTTTTTTGCTGCTATATACTAAAAAAACTACTTTAAAAAACAATAAAAAATCAATCTCAAATGGTACCTTAGTGGCAAGAAAAATTATTCTATGTGGACACCAAACAGGATCCGGCGATTAACAGAATGTGCTAGTTACTTTTTTATTCGATACTGCTGCTCGGTACTGCTATGTACCAGGTGATATGACGCGTTCTGATTGATCTTTGAATTGTCTCGTATCCGCACAGAATAATTTCTCTACTGACAGAGCATTACAGCAAAAGAAGAGTTTCTTCTGGTTTGCTCATTCTAGTGACCTGAAATCTAAACGAAACCTTTTAAAAATGAAACATACAGTTCTAATTTTTCTTTTGTAATATACAGAAATATTTCTTTTCAGCACAATATTTTCTTTAAAAGTTTCCCCTTTCTCTCTAAATACATCATCAAAGCTTAAGAATGATTTCCTCCAGGTCTTTGCTTTCTTTTGTAATATACAGAAATATATCGGAAGATTTCTGATTCATCTAACAGTATTTGCTGCTTCATGCATGGTGTTTCTTTCAGCACCCACCACTTGCAGGCTCAATTGAACTGAGAAGACCATTTCCTCTCAGCTGCATACAGTGCTCCTCTGCATCAGCTTGTGCGCAAACGATTACGACCGACAAACCATTGTAGTGTGCCTCTTGCATGACATTGACTGCAGTGTCGAGTGTCATTCCTGGAATGACCTTCATAAGCACCTGGACGACATATTCGCGCTTGTTGAAATTGTCGTTGTGAAGTATTACGCGATACGGTGGGGCTATTTTCCTGGATTTTCTGCAGAAAAGAGAAGCCAGGTTGTGCTTAGTTTTCTTGTTATGCCAAGATACTAACAGCAGGGGAATATAATTTGTATGTACCAGAAAAGCACTCTTAGCGGCGTGATTAATGGAGATTGCGAGTTTCTAATCCTGTAAGTCCTAGTTTTCAATTTTATAATCATCTAAAGAATGGATGGCTTGTTCTAAAGTGAGCAAAGCTGCTTAGAGTGAATGTAGGAATAAATGATTTTTTTACTTATTTCAACCATAAGGACAACACATTATTTCAGATAGAGTCTATGCTTAAAAGTGTTTCCATTCTTTATATAAGACTAGCATTTACCTACTAGAAAAAAAAAAAAAGAATAAAACAAGTCAAAGTGATTCAAAGTTTTTCTTCATGAGTGCTATTTAATGAGAAAATATTATTGAAATTTAAAAAGTAATTTCTATAAAACTACAATATTTTTCGAGAAAAAACTACGGAACTACACCACATTTAAGCATAAACTACGGAATTGAGGTCTGAGGCACTGGTACAACCGGATTGATCGACAAAATCAGATTCCACACAAAACTAACAATTAGTGTTATTGAGTGACATAACATGATAGAGACTTGAAATTAAATTTTATAAAACTGTAATTAGTGTTTGTAGTATAGTTCTGAGAGTTTGATGATAAAGTTATTATTGATAAACAAATTAGGTAAGGCAAAAATAAGAATCCTAAAATAAATGTGAGATAAAATCATGAATGATGGGTTGAGAAATTCATTACATTAAAGGGTCAACAAGAATTGCATATATTGAAGATAGAATAGACATGGGATTTGGGCATTAACAAAGAAGGATAGAAGATACATCAATAAGACTTGGGAAAAATTAATATCAAATGATTAATTGATAGACTAAGTGATGCAGCACATGAATGAGAGTTAATGGAATATAAGAAGAATGTAACATATTGGCATCACTAAATGAATGGCTCCTCTATAAGTGTTGCATGATCACAATATTTTTTGTATTTTCATGCAATGCAGTACATGAATGAGAGTTAATAGAAGATAAGAAGAAATGTAATATATTGGTATCGCTAAATGGATGGCTCCTCTATACGTTTTGCATGATCTCAATATTTTTTACATTTCAGTTCTTTAACTTTTACATGGTCATATTATTTCTCTTTCATTTTTAATGTGTTAAAGTTGTAAGTATGGAAAAATAAATAATGGTTGTGTATGTTGGGACAAATTTTCACCATCTTGCATGATAATTTAATATTATCATCCACTCTTAATTGGATGGCATTCCCTCAGGTACAAATGACATTTAGAGTAAGCTATGCATGGCCATGGAGGTGAGAGTATAATGAAGTAACTTCTACATGAAGATTTGGAATGGTTTTGAGCTAAATTCTCCTTGAAGATTTGAAATGGATATAAAGCAACTTCTCTATTAGAGGATAAAAGAAGAGGAGGAAGACATTTTATATTCAATGTTTCATGTAATTATATGGTTGATCACAGACATTCATATATATATATATATATATATATATATATATATATATGTTTTTAGTTGACCCTTGGTATTCCTATATCTTTTCATATTCTTCATGATGTATAAGCCTATAAATATTCATTGAAAGCTAGGTTCTAAATATCATATTTTAAATACAAAGTGAGATTACTCTCTTTTTCAAACTTAGCCTTATGACTGAATTGAACTCTCTTTCTTTGGCAAAGTTGAGAGTGATACCCTTTCTTTGTTGAGGAGAAAGATGATTATCTAGTTACTATTTTGTTTTACTGGTTTCTTTTATCCATTCTAGTGAATTATCTCTTCCTTTGTTTTACTAGATTTCTTTTACCCATTCTCATCCTCACATTCCAATTAAAGTGTTATGAAGCTTCTATCTAATTCCCATCACTTCTCCCCCCTTAATCTTCTCAAGTTAAGCCAAATAGTCAAAATATGTCTCAATCCAACTTGTCTTTTTTTAACTCCACATACCAAAACTTACACATTATAGCCCAAACCAACTATTGTATCCTCTTTCTAACATCCTAAGCAATCCATTGTTTACCTAAACCCATCATATCTCCATCCATAAACTTCCCCAAAAAACAAGCCTAAATTCTACGACCTATGAGGGTCTTTGTGTATGTGCATCAAGCAATACTAGTCCACCACTTCCACTTTAATATTATAGCTCCCTTCATTCTTTGTCAAGTTAATATGGTTAGAAATTGTGAAGAATTGAAAAAAATAAGCTTAAGGGGGGTTTATTGAGGGGGATTAAGGATTCATAAAGCTAACTCCAAATAGTTAATGATAAAAGATGGCCTTGAAAATAAATAACTTAATAAAATATTAATATTCAAGAAATGAAAAAGATATTAAAAAAACATAATAAAATAAAGGGGTAATAAAACTCATGCATGTACAAGGTAATCACCTCTCCCGGAATTGTTCAAATCTCACAATCATTGATCAAAATACTAGAATAGAAGAATAAGTCTCCATATTTAGAATAGGAATTTTGCCATGCCATAAACTATCTCAAACGACTACAATTCTCATATTTATAGATTAAAAACTAACAAACAGCTAACAAATTTTAAAAAAATTTATGTCATTAAATAGAATAATCTTATATAAATAATGTAGTCCAAAGAGCAAAAAATAACTCTAATATCCATGATAAAATAATATTTTAGAATTTATATCCACATTAATTTTCCATGCTACAAAACACACAAATCTAGAGAATAAAGCTGATAATAACCTGAAATTAGCATCAAACTCCATCAACTATAAATGATAATAAATCAAATAAATGTGACACTACACCCAAAATAAACATCATGCTCTATCATCAAATAGCGGATCCTACATCCAACAAATTAAAATATGACAATACTACTAGGGGTGTCAATTTTGGATCACGGGTGGGTTCGGGTCGAACCCCGAACAGACCCGACACTATTCAAGTTCAGGTCAACCCGACCCGTTTTTGCAAACGGGTCGATTTTCCGGATCCGAACTCGACCCGCTTCAGGTTCAGGTCAACTCGACCCGACCCGCTTCGGATTCAGGTCAACCCGACCCGACCCGCTTCGGGTTAGGTCCTCCGGCATTTTCCACACCGCCGCACGCGATTCGGTCCTCTGGCTATCCGGCAGCAAGACACGACAGCGACCGTGGCGGGGCAATGCGGCGAGCAATGCAGGGTAGCGGGTAGATGGCGATGTAAGCAGCCATTTTCCGGGCCATTCTCGGGTCATTCCCGAGTTTTCGGGTCAACCCGAACCCGACCCGGTTTTGCAAACGGGTCGGTTTTCCGAACCCGAACCCGACCCGCTTCAGGTTCGGGTCAACCCAAACCCAAAATTTTTAGGTCGGGTTTGGGTTGGGTCCAATATGGACAGGTCAAAATACTACAACAACAACAACAAGCCTTTATTCCACTACGTGGGGTCGGCTACATAAATATTTTTTCTCCATTATGTTATGTTATGAGTCAAATTCTCATTTAAATCTAATAAAGAAAGGTCATTATACTTTTAAGGTCTACTTTTATCTTTCTTAACATAGGCCAAATTCTAATACATCTACTGTCCTAACAGAGTCATCGGAAGGCCGCAATTTTACATTGACCAAACCATCTAATGTGACTCTCTCTAATCTTATCTATCACTAGAGCTACTCCAACCTTTTCAAGGATATGCTCATTTCGTATCCTGTCTCTAAGAGTAAATCCAATCATCCACCCGAGCATCCTCATCTCAGCAACATTTAACGTAAAATTATGCTTCTCTTTTAATGGCCAACATTCCATGTCATAAAGCATTACAGGTCTCATCACCATGTTTTCTATCACACAACAAACCAGAAGCATTCCTCCACTTGTACCATCCAGCTTGAATTCTACTAATAATATTCTCATCTATTTCACCATCACTTTGAACAATAGACCCAATATATCTAAAATGAGTACAGTTATTAATGACTTGATCGATCAAAGTCACAAACCCAACATTAGATCTATTACTACTAAAATGACACTCCAAGTATTCGGTTTTAGATTTACTCAAACGAAATCCTTTAGGCTCTAAGGTTGACCTCCATAATTCGAGTTTACCTTCAACTCCTCTAATCTTATAAACAAGAAGACTATCATCAGCAAAAAGCATACACCAAAGTACAACCTCTTGCAAATGTCTAGTGAGAACATCAATGACTATAGCAAAAAGATAAGGGCTTAAGGCTGACCCTTGATGTAATCCAACAGAAATACGAAAATACTTGGTCAAACCACCTTGTGTTTGAACACAAGTAACAGCTCCTGCATACATATCCCTAGTGACTTGAATATAAGCATTATTAACCCCTTTCTTTTCTAGAACTCTCCATAGCACTTCTCTTGGAACTTTATCACAATTGCTTTCTCTAAATGAAAAAATATCATATGTAGATCATCCTTTTTCTCTCTAAACTTTTCCATCAACCCTCTCAATAAATGAATAGCTTCCATAGTAGACCTGCCAGCCATGAATCCAAATTGATTTTGAAAAATATTAGTATCACGTCATAACCTATGTTCCATAACTCTCTCCCAAAATTTTAAAGTATGATACATCAACTTAATTCCTCTATAATTCGCATAATCTTGTACATCACATTTATTCTTAAAAATAGGAATCAACACACTCATTCTTCATTCATCTGACATCTTTTAAGTCTTCAAAATAATATTAAAAAGTTTAGTAAGACAAAAAATTCCTTCATCTCCTAAGCATTTTCCACACCTCTATTGGAATATCATTAGGTCTACTAGTTTTTTCACACTTCATTTTCTTTAAAGCCCCTTTTAACTTCAGTTTTACTAATACACCGATAAAAATAAAATTCTCTAATTTCATTTAGAGTGCTAAGGTCACTAAAGTCAATCGTATTCTTACAATCTTTATTACTAAAAAAACACTTTTTGATATTCATCCTTAATGCAATTC